AAACTGAATAGAGAATATTTAAAAAAAAAAAAAAAAAAACTGACCAGAAAATATTTTTTTTATTCTACAAAACAAGAAAAATAAAAAGGACCAGAAAATAATTTTTTAAAATTCGAAAAATAAAAACTGAACAGACAATTATTTCTAAAAATTCTATAAAGAAAAAACCGCACAGAAAATATTTTTTATAAATACTAAAAAGAAAAAAACCTATACAGAAAATATTTGTAAATTCTATAAAACAAGGAAATAAATGGAACAGACAATAATTTTTAACAAATCTAAAAATAGAAAAACTGAACAGACAATCATTTCCAAAAATGTTATATAAAGTAGAAATCTTTTGTGACATTATAAATGTCTTTCCTGTAACTTTTAATCAATTTAATGCATCCTTGATGAATAAAAGTATTAATGTATTTTCAAAGTGAGACTTGACTATGTCATTCATAATGTTTTATCTCTTCATGGTTTAATTTGGATTTTAACATTTGCTGGAAAGAAGCATCTGATAAATCATGCTGATCCATACACTGTAGTAAAAAATTGAGAAAATGAATGTGATTTTTACTTTAAGTTCCACTGTTGCACTCTATATGAATAGCTTAAGATCATTAGTCACCAAAAAACATTTTCATCTTGTAAAAATGACTAAACGTGTGTTAAATAAAGCTTGCATACAGATATCAGTAACTCACAGCTGCTAGCTTGTCGAAACGGGCGAACAATTCGTTCAGCAGCTTCACCAGCTCCTGCGCGCTACAGAACGAGGACAGCTGAGTGAAGCCCACGATGTCTGCGAACAGAATACTGCAACACAAACACAGTCAACGTCAAACAATCATCAAACGACGACATCAAGCTTTGCCCTCGTTTACTGAAACACTGCTGGTAATTGTAACACACTGACCTGACGTTCTCGTGCCGATACATGTACATGGTGTTGAACTGCTGCATCTCTTTCTGACTGGCTTCTTTCTTCATGTCCTGAAGCATCTCGTCTGCGATGTGCTTGGGTAAGATGGACAGCAGGAGACGCTCCTGTATGCAGAAGAACAAACGTTGATTATACACCCATATACTATCTGCATCTGCAGAATTTATGGATATATTCACACAATTCTGCTACTAATATGAAAACACAATACTCTTAAATGAACACAAATTTTAAACCAATTTTACTGTGTTTAATTCCATTTTTAATCATGTTTAATTCCAAGAAAAAAAAATGCATTGCAAGTCATTTCATTTTTTTATCGTGTTTAATTCCAAGAAAAATACAAGAAATTAAAACAACACTAACAGAAAAAATAGGGCACAACATATCTGGTCCAAACAGGATTTGTAAAAATGATTTTTTTTTAGAGCTGTCAAACGATTAATTGCGATTAATCGCATCCAAAATAAAAGTTTTTACATAATGTATGAGTGCGTACTGTGTATATTTCTTATGTACATATAAATACAAACACATGCATGTATATATTTAAGAAGACAATCATTTCCAAAAATGTTATATATAAAAAAAAAAACAGAAAAAAACTGAACAGAAAATATTTTTTGAAAGTTCTAAAAAAAAAAAAAATCCGGACAAAAATAATTTTTACAAATTCTGTAAAGACAATGAACAAAACAATTTTAAAAAGATATTCTAAAAAAAACTGAAAGAAATTGAAAAAAAGATAAAAACACTTTTTTTTAAGATAAAACACATTAAATTGATCATAAGTGACAGTAAAGACACTTACAATGTCACAACAAGATTTTCATTTCAAATAAATGCTGTTCTTTCTAAACTTTCATCAGAGAATCCTGAAAAATATGATACTGAATCACAATTTCCACAAAAATATGAAGCAGCACGACTGTTTTCAACATTGATAATAATCAGAAATGTTTCTTGAGCAGCAAATCAGGATATTAGAATGATTTCTGAAGATCATGTGACACTCAGTCAACGTCAAACAATCATCAAACGACGACATCAAGCTTTGCCCTCGTTTACTGAAACACTGCTGGTAATTGTAACACACTGACCTGACGTTCTCGTGCCGATACATGTACATGGTGTTGAACTGCTGCATCTCTTTCTGACTGGCTTCTTTCTTCATGTCCTGAAGCATCTCGTCTGCGATGTGCTTGGGTAAGATGGACAGCAGGAGACGCTCCTGTATGCAGAAGAACAAACGTTGATTATACACCCATATACTATCTGCATCTGCAGAATTTATGGATATATTCACACAATTCTGCTACTAATATGAAAACACAATACTCTTAAATGAACACAAATTTTAAACCAATTTTACTGTGTTTAATTCCATTTTTAATCATGTTTAATTCCAAGAAAAAAAAATGCATTGCAAGTCATTTCATTTTTTTATCGTGTTTAATTCCAAGAAAAATACAAGAAATTAAAACAACACTAACAGAAAAAATAGGGCACAACATATCTGGTCCAAACAGGATTTGTAAAAATGATTTTTTTTTAGAGCTGTCAAACGATTAATTGCGATTAATCGCATCCAAAATAAAAGTTTTTACATAATGTATGAGTGCGTACTGTGTATATTTCTTATGTACATATAAATACAAACACATGCATGTATATATTTAAGAAACAGCCTTGGTGAGAATATGAGAAATCTTAACAAACTTTGATTTCTATCTATGCTAAAAGTTTTAGTCAGCTTTTGGTATGACCTCTCAGCTAACAGACACTGACTATCATTTACTCGCTCAAAGAGACGGAAAAGCAAATGAACCTCTTGGGGAAAAAACACACAAATATATGCAAATTTATTGGTCAGATATGTTCCCTGACGCATCGACGGCACTAATCATTAACTGATGCTCCAGATGGCGACCTGTTAACCGGTGCTTTGACCGGTGCGCCATCGACGTGATGCCACTCTGACACGACAAGCACACACACACACACTCACACACACTCTCTCCTCACACACACTACATTCTAGCACTCCCACACACACACACACACACACACACACACACACACACACACACACACACACACACACGCGTGAACATCAGGTCAGTGCATTCACCCGAGAGTCTCACAATAAAAGAAGATAAAGGTTGAGAAGGATCAAGAGGAGGGAGTCGCTAGTGTGATTACAGCTGACATCGTCTCAGGAGGCTGGTCGCCATGGTAATCTGCCGTAGCCGGATGCTCCTTGATTGGCTGGCAGACCCCGTCTCCCAGCAGCCCATGCTCTTCCATTAGTATTCAGGGAGTTTCTCCTCATATGCTTCTTATCGGCCTGTTTTGCTCTCTCTCTCTCTTTCTCTCTCTCTCTCACACACACACACACACCTATTTCTCTTCTCAACTTGCAGCTAATAGGAGCCGTTTGCTCTGTAATTGTCGCACTGACTGCTGAATCTTTCACACAGACACAAATCAACTCCAGAAGCATTTTCTGTCCTTTTAATTAAGTTTCTCACAGTCTCAACCAATCAAAACATCCCAGATGTTTGATAAACAGTTTTGTAGGGCGGGATTTTAGGCCAATAAGATTTCACGGTGGGCGGGGCTACAAGGTATGATGTCACGGACAAACAAACCAAGCAATTGTCAAAAGCTGAAACGAGTTATTAAATTTTCATTAGTGCTGGGCAACGATTAATCGCGATTAATCGCATCCAAAATAAAAGTTTTTGTTTATATAATATATGCGTGTGTACTATATATATTTATTACGTATATATAAAGACACACACATACAGTATATATTTTGAAAATATTTACATGTATGTATTTATATTAATATAATTTATATTATATATAAATATATTTAATATATAAACATAACATATTTTTCTTAAATATATACATGCATGTGTGTGTATTTATATATACACAGTACACATACATATATTATGTACACACACTTTTATTTTGGATGCGAGAAAGCTGCTTGATTAGAAGATGCGTCATACATCCCTGCACAACTGACAAACAACCTGCACAATTCACTTATTCAAAATTCACAATTCACTGACTGCATCTTAAGACCAGGAATATGCCTGCATGATTAATCAAAATTGAAATTGCAATATGGCTTAGAGCGATTAACAAACCACAAAGGTGTGATTCAATTAAATAGATATATGGTGTTTCTGAGTGAAGCGCAGCACTGTGTTCAGTTACACACGAGCAGCTCAAGACTGCAGCATCTCACAGTAAATGCTGCATGCCTTTGGAAACACAAGACGTGCCGACCACTTTCCCAAACATGTAATGAGAATTTTTTTGTTTTACAATGATATATAAAATATAGTAACATTTATTTTCTTTTTATTTAGCAAATAAGTATTACATAAATTACTATTATTATCATTATTATTATTAGCAGTAGTAGTAGTAGTATTTTAAAGCCATATTTATATATAACCACAACATTTTGGTCAAATTGTACAGCCTTACAAACAAGCACAGCAAACCTGGATTTCACAAAAAAAAAATGACATTCAATTTTTTTCCCACAAATCGTGCAGCCCTAACCAGAAATATATATCCAGAAAGTAAACAAGTTTTATTTGCTAATGCTAAACTGTAAAAGACAGTAAAAACTGTAAAAAAAAATCAAAATAAAAAAAAAGATTTTTGGCGCAAGTTTTACACTATTTACATTATTCAGTCTTTGTTTAATTTAATGTGTTACTTGTTATTTTCTAGCAGTTCTGATGTTTCTCATGTATGTACATACATATGTATTATTCAAAGGTGAAGTGTGTATGTGATTTCTGCACCACTAGTGGCATCAATCGGAACTGCAAAAAATAATGACTAGCTATGTTGGAAATTGAACACTACCTAAAGCGTTTCGCGCTCGGTGTGAAAGTAACGTTCGTCTGTGATTCGCCTCGCTTTTTTGCATCGCGCTCAGTGTGAAACGGCCTTTACTGTATTCTGAACACAGTGAATGTTTCAGTATACTGTATGATGCCTTCTACTTTAAGAAACAGCATGTGAAATAGTACACATTATGCAACGTTTCAAGCACTAACATGCAGCACTGTTGTCCCACGACCTCACTACACTGCATGTTTAATTCACAGAGTTCACTAGTTATCATCAAGGTGTTGGTAACGCACAGAAAAGGTTTATGAATTCCACTTTTCTAGTTTTTCTACTGCTCTCGAGTCTTTTGCATGACACTGAGTTCTAAAAATGCTACGCTCAAGTTAAAAGTTCCGCTTTTAAAAAACGTGTCTTGAGACCTTGCATCTCTAGTGAAGGAACTGATTGGCCAGCATGAAATTCCACACGCTCATGTTGGTTTGGTCTGGTTGTCTCTCTCACCTGCTGCTGACTTTGCTCCTCCATGTTGAGCTTCACCTCCAGCGACTGCCGGGCCTCCAGAAAGGCCTTGCGGTGTTTGCGGTCGGCCATGTAATACGACATGACGCCCACGGTGATGGCACAGAAGTAGATCACAATGTTGGCCAGCAACTGCAAAACACAACAGCACCATCATGACATGACAAACAAGCCTTCCTCACCTAGCGTGTTTTTTTAGACTACTATATTTATTTGTAGATATAATTTAGAAGAACACGGTTAATCATCCTGAAAATATGGTAATAATGGAACAACTAAGTAAAATACTTTAATATTTTTTAAATCAACACAAAAAAAGGCATTACAACAAATACTACCATTATGTAAAAATGCTATATTTATTTGCATATGTAATTTAGAAAACATGATTAATCATCATGAAAAATGGTAATAAATGAATAACTGTTTAAATTAAAACAAAAATCACCACAAAAAAGTTAGTACAACAAATACTGCCATTATTTATCAGTAGATATAATTTATAATACAAGAATAATCATCATTTAAAATACTGTAATAATTGCAAAACTAGTAAATAAAACTACTGTAATATGTTTTTAAATTAATACAAAAAGGCACTACTAAAATACTGTCATCACGTATATATATATATATATATATTTTATTTTTTTTTTTTTGAAAACATGATTAGTCATCGTAAAAAATACTGTACTTTTTTTTTTTTTTAAATCAGCACAAAAAAGGCAGTGTCAATGCAATAAATAAATAAATTATTAAATAAATCGTGATGGTTTTGATTTTGGGGTGAAACAGCCTAAACTAGTTCTTCACAGGTTTCCTGAGATTCCCCGCTGTGAACCATTGATCTCCAGGTTCTTGCTCTGAAATGTATTTGAATAAACTGCTTTCTGTGTTCTGCCTCTTGGGGCTGCAGTTTGTCCCAAAAACAGTCTTGCTGAGTAAGAAGAGCAACACCCACCTGCCGGCCCTTCTGGCCCCGTCACCATCTTATGAATGCAGCGACACAAACGCCACTGAAGCAAATATCAGCTTACTATTTATGATGTATTAGATGAATCCGATGAACTCATATCCAGTCATATTTCATCCCCAAAACAAAAGATATTATATTATATTAAGAAGACCAGATTTTCTGCATTGTAACATTATTTTCATGACAAATAAGCATATAAATTAAAGTGCCCCTATTATGGATTTTTGAAAATTACCTTTCATGCAGTGTGTAACACAGCTCTAAGTCAATGAAAACATCCTGCAAAGTTTTAAATCTGAAAGTGCTCCGTGTATAAAGTTATTGTCTCTCAAAAGAAAGAGTCGACTCTGAATCATTGAAACGAGTCGTTTTTAAAACGAATCCCAAGCCGTTTCATGTTGACGATAACATGAAACATTAGCATATTCCCCGCCCACTTGTTGGTCTTTTCGGTTGGTCTGAATGAAAATGCAAATTTCATTCTTTGCCACTAGGTGCCGCTTCTGGAGCGGTAAAAATAGCAGTTTCCCCGGTAACGCTGTACACAAAGCAGCACTGCGCTCACAAACGCTGCTTTATCCAATAGTATTATCAGGCATCACAGGCATGATGAAATGAAAATGAGACCAATCTGACCAATCACTGCAGATTATGAATCGCTGAGCGAATCGTTTGGGAGTCGTTGAGCAAGTAAGGTAAAAATAAATGCATATTATAAGACAATGAAAGTGTTTTTTGACCTTGCAACAGGTTGACATCTGTTGTTGGGGACTCCCAAAACCAAAATATGAACCATTCATTACCCATAATAGGGGCACTTTAAAGCAGCACTATGCAACTTTTGGCGCTCTAGCAGTTAATAAACAGAACTGCACACATCACACGGAAGAACATTCCAACCGGAGCTACTTCTCTAAGTTTATGTCTCTGGCGATTCACGCAGGTATGTGTTACTCCTCAGCGGTGACGACCCGACCAGGCTACAATAGTCCAAATATAAGTACTTATTATAAGTGTACCGTAGTTTAGTCTTTGCAACTTTACAGATCTTCTTTATGCACCAAGAGCTTGTAACACTCCAAAGAGAAAGGAAAAATTGAAATCGCATCATATGACCCCTTTAAAAATATGTTTAATTGTCTTGAAAATAACTCTACATCAACTTGATGGCCTTTTGGTTCAAAGGTTTCGAGTAATTCTGAGTATTTGTAAAGAAACCCTTCACGCGAGCCTAAATCCATGGAATGATATAATGGTCTGCGTCTGTTGACATCTTTTGCACCAGAAACGTCTACGCTTTTCTTAAAATGCAATACAGAACAATTTTGTTGTCAAGTGGAGACCAGAGGCTACTCTAACATACAACATTTTCCACTCGCACAGCCATCATCTGAAAAGTTCTTTCTCTTCCTTAGAAAAAGAAATGTGATCGATTGTACACATGAATGTGATCTGGATGTTTGATGCCTTTGAATTTAAACTTACAGTGGTGGCCAAAACGATTAGAACACTAGTATTTCCACTAGCTAAAAAAATGGTTTTAAGTCATAACTTAAAACCATTTTTAGCTGGTGAAAATACTAGTGTTCTAATAATTTTGTTCACCACTGTACTTTGTCTTTAGGCTGCTGGTTAACGTTACAAAAAGGAGTTTTCACAGTCATAGAAAAACAATTTTAGGTTCCCCAAAGCGAACAGTTCTTTTAAACAACCATTTCTTTTAGTGTGAAGAACATTTTAATAATCTAAAGAACCTTTTTCCATTATAAAGAACCTTTTTGTTGAATAGAAAGGTTCCATGGAAGTTAAAGGCTCTTCATTGGACCATCAATGCCAATACAGAACCTTTATTTAGATTGTAGCTTGAGATCAGATGCAATTGTATCCATAAAATAATTGTATTACTAAATCTGAAGTTCAGTCTGGATAAAGTTAACATTTAAACTTTCTGATAAAGGTTTCATTTTTTAACATTATTTAACTGCATTAGTTAACATGAACTAACAATGAAAACACTTCTAAAACATGTCATTTCAACATTTACTAATTGATCAACATTTGTATCTGTTAATATTATTTAATACACATGAGCTAACATGAACTAACAATGAACAGTTGTATTTTTATTAACCAACATCAACAAAGATGAATAAATATAACAACAAATGTATTGCTCATTGTTAGTTAATGCTAAACTAATGGAAGCTTATTATAAAGTGTTACCTTAATATCAATATTTTAATAGTACCAACATTGGCAGGTAGATTTATATATTTTGTTAGTTATTATATTTATATAGATATATAGATATCTATATGTGTGTGTGTGTGTGTGTCTGTGTAAAATTGTCCCAAGTCTACGAGGCTTGAATCTACAAGGCTTTTTAAGATGTATTCCCGTCAAAATGACTAAGACAAGTATAAATTTAATGACACGTATCTTAACAATTTAAGATTTAAATGACTGAGATATATATTAAAGAGTCAAATCTTCATGCAGCCTTTAAACTACAAAGCATGTGCTTGTTTGATGCCAAAAATTGTTGTCATTGAGTCTTTCACGTTCTCAGGTTAACACCAGTTGAATCGGACTTTGATCAGAAACCTCAGGAGGAACTGTGAGAAGATTTGAACACATCATTTACACCATTAAAAAATAAAGCTTTAAAAAGTTTTTTTTCTCAGTGATTCCTCTAAGAGGAATCATTTTTGGTTCCTCAAAGCAACTTTCAGTGGTTGGTTCTTAGAAGAACCATGTTTTTCTAAATGGTTCTAAATTTTCTAAATGGTGGTAAATAGTTCTAAAAATAAAGGTTCTTTATTGGCATCGATGGTTCCATGAAGAACCTTTAACATCCGTGGAATTGTTTAATTCCACAAAAGGTTCTTTTTAGTGGAAAAATGTTCTTCACACTTAGCAAAACATGGTTCTTTTAAAAACTGCACTCTTAAAAATAAAGGTTCCTTATTGGCATCAATAGGGCCTTTCGCACCGCTTTAGTTCCAGAACTAAATGTACAGTACTAAAGTACTGGGACGATTTTGCGCGAACTATTTCCCAGTACCATTTAAAGGGTTGCATTCGCACCGAGAGTGTGTACTTAGAAGTGACGTAAGCCGGTCGACAGCGACGTCATTTGTGCGCGGCGTTCAACAACAGAAACAAAGAAGAACAACATTAACAACAGGAGGATGGAGGACGCTGTGATCGGAGCTGTGTTTTTGTTTTGTCTCGCGGGTTTCACAATAATGGACATGGAAAGTCGACGTTTACGTAAAGCGACTGAAAGAACGGAAAGGAGGACTAAGAATCTCCAACGACAACTGGCAGTGCTATATTTGCTACAAGTGCCTGCACTTCAGTGTCCGTCCATCTATCGCTGTTCTCCATACTTGCGAAATAAGTTGACACAACGTTTACAGTATGTTTACATGGCGTTTTAAATCATTGTGGGTGAGGGCGTTTTCATACGCGTTTGGCCAATCAATGTCTACTTACGTCACGATTAGTACCAGTTGTGCTGTTAGACCCTGTAGGAGCTAATTTGGCTCTCGAAAAAGGCAGTCCGGTACTAAAATCGCACCTAGTTCCGGCGGTGCGAAAACGCCAAAAAGTGGGTAGTTCCACAATTAGTTCTGGTACTATGAAAAGGTTCCCACGGCGCGAAAGGCCCTAGTGATTCCACAACCATCCATGGAAACTTTTCATTCCACAAAAGGTTCTTTACAGTGGAAAAAGGTTCTTTAGATTATTAAAATGTTCTTCACAGTAAGAAAAAATGGTTCTTTTATGAACTGCTCACTGAAAGGTTCTTTGGGGAACCAACACTGGTTCTTCTATGGCATCACTGTGAAAACCCCCTTTTGGAACCTTTATTTTTAAGAGTGTGATCACTGAAAGGTTCTTTGGGGAACCAAAAATTGCTCTTTTGGACCTTTTGTGGATTGGAAAGGTTCCATAGAGATTTTAAAGGTTCTTCACGGAACCGTAGATGCCAATAAAGAACCTTATGAACCATCTTCACTCTTCCAAACTGCTGGCATCATTTTTTTTTTTTTTTAAATCAAGTCAGAATTTTCTTCACACAAGAACTGACTACTGAAAGGTTCTTTGGGGAAACAAAAATGGTTCTTTTGGAACTTTTGTGGATTGGAAAGGTTCCATAGAGATTTTAAACCTTCTTCATGGAACGTGGAACATGGATCATGATCGTTCGAATCTCTCAAGACCCATCTTTACTCCTCCAAACCGCTGGCATCATTTTTCTCACCTGTCTTCCAAGAGCCGCCCCCTGAATGTCCTCCTGCTGCTGCTGGGCAATCGTGACACCCAGGACAAGCGTGTGCACACCGCAGGACACGGCTGTGATCAGCACTATAGGGGTCAGCCGCAGCGGCAATGTCAGAAAGAAGGAAAAGCTAAAAAATGCCTGCCAGCCCACCGTGTCGCTGGGCTGATGGAAGCGGGCGAAGTTCAGTCCTAGGTAACAGAAGTTCTGGGCCGCTATGAGCACCCACAAGACGTAGGGCACCAGGCGGCGCGTCACACGGTCCGGGAGCAGACCGAACCGGCACAGCAGGTACAGCAGGACGTCTGCCGCCAGCCCCACCGACGCCACGGCCACAGACGCCAGCTTATCGCTCGTGTAAAGCACAGTGCACATCACAATGACGTAGCAGTCGAAGAGGGCCGCGAACACCACCAGCACCAGCAGGGTCTCGTGCCGCTGCCGGCGGAAGTAGGTCTGGTAGAGGTTCTCCAGAGAGTCCGGCGCGAAGGTCAGACGCATGAACCGCGGCAGACACAGGCAGCAGCCGGAGCTGCGCACAGTCACCTCGTGGGTGCGTCCCACTGCCTGCCCGGGGTCCGAGGGCAGGGTGACCGAACAGTCCGCCGAATACTCCGCAGAATACTCGGGCTCCGAAAAGGCCCGGTTCCGGTGCATTCTGGAGTGCTGGATTGTAAAAGATGCTATAAAAACTAAGGGTGTATTCACACCTATTTTGTTTGGTTCGACTGAATCAAACTCGAGTCTTACTATAGGGAGATGAGAGGGTCTGTATTACTTACTATTGGAGAAAGCGTAACGGCTAACTTGTATCATGTGGGCCTTAATAACCAATCACATTACAGCCTTGACGTCAATGAATTTCAGTCTGAGTTGTTTGACACTCAATCGCCGTTTACAGATCCCATAGGAATGAATGAGAAGTGCTGTAAGCTAAATCCCACCTGTCGCAAAAAATCAGTGACTTCTCTTATAAAACTGCATTTTTTTGGGGGTGAATTCTAAAAATAGTTCAATCCAAAAGTACTGTTTAGTGTAAAACGTGTTGAGGATTAGCCGATAGGCTGTGGATTCATTAAATGATAAGCCGTTTCCTCTCAAAAGCTGTTTATTCAGCGTAGTGAAGCCTCTTCTTCATTGACATGCATTAAAAAAAAACGCCTCTGGTTTCCTTCGCCACATACTGCCTTAGCATTAGCCGATATGCTTTTTGGCTAAAGGTTGCAGGCTTGCCTTCTAGTGGCTTTGCTCAAGTTCGTTTCCCCCCTTGGTGCAGATCTTTTGGGCAGGTATGAATACAGCAATCGCACTCAGGTGAGGACCAAACAACCGTACCGAGACCCAGCTGAAGAGGTGGTCTGCTTCCAAACGAACTCTGGTACGGTTGAATGGATGAACCGATGAATGGATGACCTTAGCACACGTGTGGTTTTGGTTACAATTTCTGGTTCACTTGCAAAAAGGACAGTGTGAAAGCAAACCACACCAAACAAAAAACAACAACATTGTATTTGGTCCGGACCAAAGCAAGTGAACTAGCAGACTTTCCTGGTGTGAATACACCCTAACACTCCGTGTGGGTTTTAATGCATCGGATGCTGGAAAAACATTGCCTGGAAACGTGTTCGTCAATGTCCAAACTTGAGATCAGATTCGAAGCGGCCAACTGATTGTCATGCCTGGCATGTTTAGACACCGAATCAGATCTTGCATGCATGTATGTTTGTGGCATCGCCCCCACCAGTGCCTAGAGCACATGGCATGTGCTTCCCGAACAAATGCCCCCAGCTACACGCCTTTGTTTTTCTGAGATCTGCAAAGACAAGTCTCAGCAAGTTGGCATGAAGGCGACAAAAAGAGCTGTTTACACATCCGCCAGCCTCTCTGTTTCCAATCCAGGATCCAGTCTCGGTGTCCACCAGCGCTCACGGTGGGTTTCCATGGTGAATCCTGGCATGGATGAAGAATATCAGGACTCAGGAAGGAAGCGAGGCGACCACTGAACGAGATGTTTCGCCCCAGATCAGCATGACACCCCGTGATAAGCAAAATAAAACCCGAACGGCAGCTTAAATCGAGAAAACTGACGCGATCGTGATCGGAGAGCGCATCTCGGCCTGATACAGTCTGTTAAAATGCATCCTGTGCATTAACGGTGCGTACAGGATTCACGCAGGAAATACATGTTGCGCTCCGGTGCTGTGTGAAATATGGAAATGCATCTCACAATACAGCGCTACTGCCTTCTGTTATGCTTATAAATGGTACATATCCTGACATTTTCGCTATTGGAATTACCACAAGACGTGCGAATTAAGATTTTCGCAGAGGTTCAGTGATGAAAACGTGGATCTCTCTTCAGACAGTCCGTTTCTCATGAAAATGCAGCTGCGTTTATCCGTAACGTATCCATAGCACGCTCCGATCTGTGGCTCCTTCGAGGATGTAAAGTGTGCCAAAGATCAATCTAAAAACCACCCGTGAAACACATGAAAATCCACCGTATGCTCGATCCGAAGGCTTTTTTCACCAAAAGTCATTAATAATCACGCGACTTCCCGTTTCGTGGATGAAAGAAGGTGATACTGGCACCGCTTCAGTTCCGCTGTCCTGATAAACCAGACCTGACAAACCTGACTTTTCGGGGAGTCTGTGTGTATATAGCCTACGGAGAGATCACTTTCCAAATGCAAACGAACGTGATGTCCGATTCGCGGAGGAATTGTTGTCTTGAGTCGGTTCTTACTAACGATTCGTACGAACCGATTCTTAAAGCTTTCGTGAATCATTTGGTTTGAATGGAGAAAGTTATGTCTGAGTGAAGCTGACAAATAGGTTACATACAGTATGTAGCCTAACGCCAAACGCTATTTATAATTCGTAATCGAAAACATTTCATTAATAGCAGTATTTAGGAAAATGCCATATTCCCTTCATCAATTAGACAGTGAAGGAGACGTTGCTGTCATGTTAAAGGCTCAGTCTCTGTAATGCAATCACAAGTTATAAAGGCAAACTATTTATGTTTCTACAAAAACAAACCCAAAAAACAGGACGTTAAATGCCGCGCGCGACTTTTTAGAACGCGTTTCAGCGTTGACTCGTTTGAATAGACTCTCTGATTTGACCATTTCGAGCGAACCGATTCGCTTAAATGAATCAGACTTCTCAACGCTACAAACGAAAATTACCAGTCGTACTATGGCGACGGCTCACAACATGAATATTCATTCAAATGTGCTAACGTATCTTTGGAAGCGGCCAATCACGCGACCTGTTTAATATTCATGAGCTTGACCTTCTCTATAGTAGGATCGGTAAACTCGCGTCGATGTCACCCCCTCATTTTCACACCCCCTTCCGTGGGCACGGATTTTGGAGCACAGGCCAGCCAAATATGCAGCCCATCTTATTACAAAACCTATAGGGAGTTTTTATGGATATATAATGAAACACTATGTGAATAATATTGGGCTTTTTCAATGTATTCTCAACAAAACTGTCAGCACTCTCAGTGTAAACAAAGCCTTTTACGATTACGAATTTACTTGCAAAATAATTCAAATTGAAAGCATAAATGCACGTTTTAGGTTCTAGAACAAGGAGTGAGAAGTTACAACATCACACAATTAAGTCTGTAAATGTATAATATCTCTCCCACACACACACACACACACACACTCGCACTCTCTCTCTCACACACACACACACACACTCACACTCTCTCACACACACACACACACACACTAGGGCTAAATTTATGCCTGTTTGGATAGCTGTGGACCAATATCTAGCTCTCGGCATGTTTAAAAAGGTTGGTTTAATATTAATCATAATAACATGACATAAAATTACATGTTTTCGCCACTGTTAAAACTGACACGACTGTCTGACACCGGATGCCTCGGCTGACATCACCTCAGGGTCATATTGATTATTCCACTGAAACCCTGTATTGAACAAGTAATCAATAGTCAGACAGCTGACCTTTATAAAACATAGATAGAACACATCAACATCACATCGTGCCTGACAAACACATCACATCAACTCACACTACTCAACCATGAATGTGACATCACATTATCACCGAGCAGACCTCCTCTGTTATGAAAGCGCTTCATAGGCCTAACATACCGACCGTGCCGTTTTCGGTAATTAATATATATTCCCAGGCTCTTGTTGCTAAGTACACAAAGGGAACCTGAGGGAGACCAGGAGTATGGTAATTATTAAATTCGCTCTGCCTCAGAGGTTCACAGGGGAACAATTATCTAGTACTTCATTATACATGTGGAAGTTTGGGACTTTAAAGCTTCACAGAAAAGCAGAGTGAAGAAACTGGCCTTTAGTCACATTCTCTTTTCTGCTCCACTTCTAGTACATTGCCCAATTCTATGTTCAAATGCACGTGATAAGCTGTTTTATTTAAATACTGCGGTATGAAACTGCACAAAGGGTCCTTGTAGGGTGAACAGGGGGCTAATATATTAGTCTCTATCATTGTGTTGCTGGGTTGCTGTAAATAATGTTTCTTAAATGTTGATGTCACACCACGATTTCCCAGAAAACACAGTTTTGTTTTTCTCTCTGACTCTCTCTGAAAAGGAAAATGACAATAAAACTCACTTTGGCAAATATGTGCATGTGCTTTACATGTGGTTAAGGAGGTGATTTCTAAAATACTTTTAAATATGAAATCAAATTGAATAGCTTTTTAACAATGTAATAGCAACATATTGCAAAAGAAACAACCATCTCTATACGGTCGTTCTTTGAAGGTAAATGCTGTAAACAAGAGTAAACTCATTAATAGTGCAAAATGCATGTCACCTGGTTAGATTTTATTATATACTTTCCATTTGCATATAACACCATTTTGTGCTACAAATATGTATTTTATGCATATCATTTGAATCCTCTCAGCTGCCTTTCTGCTTTTCAGCTTAATAACAGCTTTGACAATTTAGAGTCTCAGGTTGCCACCTAGAGTATTCTAAAGTAATATTAATTAATTAATGAAATTCAAATTTATACTATTCATATAATTCCAGTCACATATAAGTTATTTAATTTGTTTAGTTTTTAAATTTGATATTGTATTTGAATTATATTTATTAAAAGTATTACATTTAATTAGAAATAATTTATTTAAATTTGTTTTGTATTTGTTTATTTAACCATTTCAAAATTGCACCACCTTTTTGAAAATGGCTTGGGTTGCCACCGACTGTTGAGTAGTAAAGCTGAATATTTTAGTCTAAATTCATATTTCACCACGGCTTAAGCGCTTGATTAAAGCTGGGTAGGTATGTTTATTTTACATTTAGCACGCTCGCTTAATGCACAAATCCCTTCAGTTTGCTCCATTCAAACTTCCAGTTGCGTCGTTACTACGTTCATTACGGTTGTGCGTTTGACGCCATGCACGCAGGCGCGTAGGCTGTGACGCTCTGCTGACGTGATCTAGCGAATCAGAGGAAGTAGATGGTGGGTCTTTGACAAATGTTGTGAGAGATCCAGTGGAAAAGACAGTGGCATGTCCACTATACACTGGAGTAACTGGAGTAAGAGACTGGAGCACGTCCACTGACACAGGTGCAGTGCCTCACACACCTCGAGCCTGAGAGAGAGATAGCGAACAAACACAGCATGCATACAAGAATAAACGGAACCGAATGTATCAGTGCAGTGATGCTTACATCCCGTTGTCTGAACGAGTCTCTCTGGAGTAGGATGTAACGTTACCCTGTTTTGATGTGTCTGGAAAACTGAAGAGCTGAAGTGATGAAGGTGCAGTGAATGGAAACCCAGAAAATCCAGTGTTCATTGTTGAATAACAGCATACAGTGATGCATGAACTAGATGTGTTTA